AGAGAGAAAGAGAGAGAGAGAGCGCGTATACACACAAGTGCGGGAGGGGCAGAGAGAGAAAGAGTCATAAGCAGGCTCTGTATTGCCAGCACAGAGCCCAATGTGGGGCTCGAACTCACGAACTGGGAGACCATGACCTGAGACAAAATTCAGAGTCAGACCCTTAACCAACTGAGCTACCCAGGAGCCCCTGGAATAGGTAATTTCTTATATGCGATTGATCATAGATCTTTTACAGAAAACATGTGTCACTATTTCAAAGAAAAGGGAAATAATCATATACCTTATTTATATTTAAATGGGCTTATCTTATTTCCTTTTAGGGATGATATAATACCATGAAGGAGTAGATGGTATTATTCCATTTATTTTCTAAGGGAAATGGAGATTGTTACCCTGCTCATACAGACAGGAAATGATGTTTGATAAACAGTGTGCCAGCAGAGCTGAATGGTGTGGACAGAACGTGCCCAAACCCAACTCTGGTGCTCAGAGCTGCCTCCTGGCCCTGTTATAGCTTCATATGGCCCTCCATTACAGTGAGGGTGATTGCCGCTCTTCCATTGCCTCTAAACTGTGCCTTTACTCTGAACCTCACAGTTATACATCACAGAGTATCTCTTTCTCTGCTTTCTGTATTTGTTTTCTTTACTCATGTATCTTTCATAGTTGACCTGACAAATCCTTTCATGAGTCCATTAATGGAGGGATGAAGTGGATTAACATAACTCCCCAGTGTGTTCCAAATGCAAGAGGAACCCAAAATGCCATGGCATTGACCACTCATGGAATAAGAAAGCTGAGGAAGGCAACCTAGAAACCAATTAGCTACTGTCCCCCTGCATTTTTATAGGGAAATTTTAGGTCCAGAGAGGTGAACTGTCACTCAGCTAATAAGGGGAAATGCTGAGATTAGGGCCCAAGCACTTGCTCACACATCAGCATCACTGGTGAATGTCCGATGTGAAAATACTTCCTTGAGAGAGAAATAATGTAGTATAAAGCAAATGGATTTGCTGGGGGGAAATCCTAGAAAGCTGTTGGTCTAAGTTAGAGCTCATGGTTAGAAGACTTCCCACTTGATTGCCCAGCCCTTCTCCAGACTCCCTGACTTCTCAGGGACCCAAGAGTACCATTCTGTCTGGCCTTCTTCTCTGTCACAGTGGCCAGCCCCAAACCCCAAAGCCAATTCAAATCCTTGGGCCACATTTTCCCTAAATACATCCCCCCCTCCTTAACTTTCTTACTGCTTTATATCTGAATCTTCTTTAAGTAGTATTTTTACTATCAGTTTTCAAATAGTGGTTTTAGCTTATTAGGTCAGAGTATATTAGCATCTGAACTCCTAGGAATTCAAATCTGTCTACTTTTTCTAGTATTCTCTTAGCATAGTAAAGAGAACAGGCTTTTATTTTATGTTTTTGGTCACAACAGGGGAACATATGGGTATTGGAGACAGATGACCCTGGGTTTGGGTCACAACTCTCCAGTTTTGAGACCCCTAGTTCAGGCATTTAACTTTTCTTTTTTTCTTTTTTTTTTTATGTTTATTTATTTTTGAGAGAGAGAGAGAGAGAGCGAGAGAGCGAGGGAGGGAGAGAAAGCATGAGCAGGGGAGTGGCAGAGAGAGAGGGAGACACAGAATCCAAAGCAGGTTCCAGGCCCTGGGCTGTCAGCACAGAGCCCAACATGGGGCTTGAACTCACGAGCCATGAGATCATGACCTGAATCAGAGTCGGACACCCAACCAACTGAGCCACCCAGGCACCCCTGGCATTTAAGTCTTTTAAACTTCAGTTGTACATGAGATTGTTGTCGGGATGGAAAGAGCTATTCTGTACCCATGGAAGCAAATATCCTTAAAAGAGTCAGCAGGCAGAAACAGTTCCCTAAGAAAGAAAAAGAGAGTTCAGTTCCAGAAACACAAGGATGAACTGGCTGGGTACAGGGAAGAGGCCCAGACAACAAATCTCTAGGGTAAGTGCCATTTCTTTACGGCCACAAAGTAAAGGGATCTGTATATCTACTGCTAGCCACACCACATAATGGAGTAGTCCCTATGTTTCTACTCTGCTTAATATCAGTAAGTTCTCCAAGTACTAGATGCTGGGTGTTCATGATTAAACATGGTGTAATCACTCAGTATCAATCTTCAGATGCGCTCAGCAGGAAAAGAAGCATATGGCCTGATATGACTCACAGGCCAGCCATGCTAGTCTTAAGGGACTGAAGGATGTCACAAGCTGGCTACCAATCTCTGTCTCAGGTCTTGATGACACCAGTAGATGGATAAGGTCCCACTCACTGCCAGTCTTGCTTTCCAGGGCCTGCTTCCCACAGGTGGTTGCCCATGGAAAATGTCTCCAGGTGCCTGGAATGACAGAAGAATTCTCAGGCTTCTCTTAGAGGCTAAACCATTTTTAGTAATGACCCTCAGATTTTTTTTTTTCTTTTTTAAAGTTAAGGTTGGTTACTAAGCACAGTAATGAGAATGGATGAAATGCCTTAAGATTTGGGACGGAACCAAATTTTCAGATCACGAGGGAAACCATGAAAGAGACATTAATATGAACATAAAATAAACAGGTTGAGGATCTACATTCAATAAAGATAAATAATACATCTCTGACTGAAATGAATCACAGTTGTGACAAGTAAGGAGAGGAGGAAGAAATTAGCCAGGATAAACTCAAAAGAAGTTGTCAAAAATGTTGGTAAGATAACCTCTTGCCAGAGGCAAAAATCCTAGGAGACATGCAATGGTGGCATTGGAAGACCAGCGAGGAAGGACAGAGAGGCTCCAGTCCTGTGTCTCCAGGCTCCTCTCCTTCCCCTCTCCTTGGGCTTCAACGTCTTTGTATCATCTCCCATGTAAACAAACGAACAAAGAAAACAGCTCTTAAAGAGATGTAACATTCACACAAGGCCTAAAAGGCCAGTAATAATTTGGAATGATATGTCACCCAAGACGGTGTGTGTCTTAGTGGGAGGGCTGGCTTAACTCGGGGAATGAAATGCCTACTTTGGAATTTCAGGCTGTGCTCAGCACATGAGGAAGGGGTTGGGCGTGCGTTTGCGTGCGTGCGTGTGTGTACGTGTGCGTGCGCATGCGTGTGTGTTAGGAGGGGAGGAAGGATTGTCTCTGCTTCCTGGGCCCACCGGAGGGACAGGCAGAGGTGGAAATGCAGAGCGCACCCTGAGACGCAGTGCTGGAGACGAAATGGGAATTTCAGACAATCTGAACAGGAGGAAAAAAAAAAAAAAAAGACTTTAGGGCTCAAAGAAATGTCGTATGACCCACCTCTCCTTGCTCCTCTCTTTCTTATTTGGTTTCTTTGACATTTTTTTATGTGACAAAAACGGAGTTTGTTACTGACAGGCTCTTGTGGAGAACTGTTTGAAGAGAGGGGAGACATCAGAGAAGAATGGGGAAATGGAGGTGAAAACTGAAAAACCACCTCACACCCTCCTTTCTGGGGACAGTCTGCTCATTTTCTGTTATGCTGAAATCTTGCCGCACTCCGTTCCATCAGTGCACTGTCTATCCCAGAGCCTGAATGTGGAAAGAAGCAGGAAGATCCGTATAATTACGTTTCCCACCTAAGCTCTGCTCT